TAGAGAGCAGAAGGAAAAATCCTTTGTCAGCTCCATCGCCTCCCGTTCGTCACAGGGATCAAGGTGGACATTGCAAGTCGGTTCCAATGGAACCGCTGCATTGACACAAGAAGCAACAAGATCCGAGTTTACTCAACAGGTAAGAATCCAATTGATGTTTGAAACATTCCTCCGACTGCGCATCAACGACACACACAGGTAGATTATTCCATTCGTTCACTACTCTGGTAGACAGAGTGACATCACAACGGACCCGAAGTCTCCTTTGTTTAAACAATTTCCAATGGTGACCCCGAGTCGAACTGAAAGAATTGAGTGGAAAGAAATTCTGCAATTCAACTCCAAGTTCCCCTCTAACGATACGCCGTGTGAAAATCAAATCCCCGCGATCTCGACGGTAGGCTAGGGAGAACAAGTTCAGGCACTGGAGACGATGCGAGTAAGGCAGGTTTCGTAATTCCAGAACGGATTTAGATCCTCTCCGCTGAACTTTTTCAATCAAGTTGCATTCAAATTTGGAAAGAGGATAAACAGCGGGCAGTCCATACTCAAGAATCGGACGTACATGAGAAGTGAACAGGAGCCTGAAGATCTCCGGAGTCAAGCGAGAGAAGGATCGTCGTATGGCGAAAAACAACCTGTTGGCAGAAGCGACTTTCCTCAAGGTATCTTCGGTCGATTTTAGGTCTGGGGTCACAATGACGCCGAGGTCCCTCTCACGATTAGAGTTCGGCAGCAAAAACCCACCGATATGATAAATTCCAAATGGTTCGGAGGCACCGATCGGAAGAACGGAACATTTATCGTGATTTATGGGTAATTGACACCTGATCGACCAATCATGCAGCGAATCGAGCCTTGTTTGTAGTAAATCCGCTTCATCTAGACAGGAGACTTCCATCCATATCTTTAAATCATCTGCGTAAATCAAACAATCTGCCCGTAGTACAGATGCCAGATCATTAATAAAGACTTTAAAAAGTTCAGGGCCAAGAACAGAGCCTTGCGGAACACCGCTGGTCATATTTACAGGGAAGGAAAAGGCCTCATTTACTTGCACACGGAAAGCGCGGTCATGCAGGAAATCAGTGAGCCAAGAGAGGATTTTTCCTGAAACACCAATACTGCGAAGTTTGCTAAGCAAAATTTCGTGTGGAACCTTGTCAAAAGCTTTACTAAAATCCACAAATACGACATCTAGCCGCTTACCAGCATCCATGGATTTAGCCCACTTTTCTCGAGCTACCAGAAGATTGGTGACACATGAACGCGAAGGACAAAACCCATGCTGCGCAGCTGAAATGATCTTGAGGTTCTGGAAGTGCAGGTTGAGAGCTCGCTTAAGAATCCTCTCCATAACCTTACAGACGACAGATGTTAGACAAATGGGCCGATAATTCGTAGGATCTTGCCGATTACCTCCTTTGTATATGGGCTTGACTATGCCCGCTTTCCAGGCAAGCGGAAGACGCCCGGCCTCAAGTGAGCACCGAAATACGTGGCAGATAGGAACAGCGATATATTCGGCCACAATCTTGAGGAAAAGAGGATGCAGTCCATCAGGTCCCGGGGAAGAGTTGGGATCCAACTCGCACAAAAGTTTGTATACCACAGTAACATTTATGTCCATATCGCTGAGAGCGGAGAGCAAGGATGAATAACAATCAACTGACGGCACCCCCGTTGTATAGACCGATGAATAATGGCGAGCTAAAAGATTAGCTTTATCAGCATCGTCGTGGAGCACGGTATTAAGATCGTGGGAATGCAAAGACGGTATTCCACTTCCGGCTCTGGTGCTCCTTTTCAAGTAGGAGAAAAGCAGCTTCGGTATAGACTTGGAATGTTCAGCCAGATGACCTTCGTATTGCTGCCGTTTCGTACGTTTTTTCGAGGTACATACGTTCCGGACCAATTTATAATTGCTATAATCGGTTTCCAATCTCGAAAGCCTATAGCGATTCCAAAGTTTGTGTCTTTGGTTCATGAGCGATCGTAGCTCTCGGTCAATCCAGGGGGACCTCTAGTAAATGGTTTTCGTTTGGATATGGGGACAACATCATCAATAAGGGACAACATTTTCGAGTAAACAAGGCTCCAAGCATTATCGACGTCCAAGTGCTGAGGGAGACTCCAATCCTGCTCGCTAGCGGCCTTCTTCAAGCGGTTTGGATCAGCACGCCAGAAATTCCGCCGATAGACACAGTGGTTGTGAATGCTCAACCGTGTGGTCCATTGAAAGGAAAGTAGGCAGTGGTCACTCCTCCCGATTGGTGGTAAGACATTCAAATCAGAAACATCCGATGGTGCAGGCGAAAGCACAAGATCGAGTATGTGCGGCGTCTGACCAGGGATAATGCGAGTAGGTGCCGCGACATGTTGAATTAAATTGCTTTCAAGAACAGCTTCCAGAAACGTAGAATCGAAGGAGGCAGGTGCAGCATCACAGTGAAGAAGATCCCAATCAACATTAGGGGCATTAAAGTCCCCCACTAATAAACAATCCTTATTTCCACCATGCTTCTTTAGAGAGGCCAGTAAACGATCGCCAGAACTCAGGGGAGCTCTGTAGAAGACACCGAGAAGGAGAGATCTACATCCATCGTGAATACGACACCAAAGCACTTCGGAGCAGTCATCACTTCCCAAGACAACATCAACTACATGGACCTTCAGGTTTTCCTTCCAGTAGAGTATGACGCCGCCCCCGATCTCAAACCGATGCGATCAGCTCGGGAGAGACTGTAACCAGGAATATGTACTTCGGGATCTGGGATTTCTGGGGACAACCATGTCTCCGTAAACGCCATAAGGTCCGGGAGAAGTACTGACGCAAGATGCACAACTTCATCTAGTTTATTACGCAGACTGCGCACGTTCGCAAAAAGTACGTGCAATCCAGTTGTTGATCTTAATGTCCGGGAAGGACAAGAACTGGCTTCCAGCGCGTTCTCTGCACTTTCCGAACCACGCGAAAATCCTCAATACGCAAATCGGTTTCACCGTTCGCACGGCGAGTTCTCAATTCATCGACTGCGATCTTCATTTTAACGCGGTCTTCCGGGGATAGATCCCGTAACACGTGAAAGGGCTCCCCCTTGAGGCGCGAAGTTCGTCGAAGGATCCGACGGCATTCATCTTCACTTTGGCATACAACCTTAAGGGGACGCACCTTGGAAGAATCTTCGTGTTTTCTGCCAAGTCGAAAAGCAGAGACGATATTAATCCCCGGTTCCCCCTCATCGAACAGTAGGGAGATCATACGTTTTAGAAACAATTGGTCATCCAAAATTCTCTCTGCTGCTGTTGTCTTATCCGACTCCGGGGAGTTCATTATGATGAGACAACGTTCCCGGTTAGGGACTTTGGCGATCTCGGGGATCCGTGGCTTGGAAGGCGGCTTGTCCTGGAGCAGTTTCTCCAAATGGTCGATCCTATGAAGAACCGATTTCAGCCCGCGCTTTGGAGGTGACGCTTTGTCTTCCACAGACTTGGCTATAGGCTTATATTTATGCACCACGGGAATCCGGCTTGCGGGAGCAGCCACCGTGTTCTCCTTGACGACGGTCGCAAACGTCTTGGGCAGGGGCTTACTAGGCTGGTCACTAGAAATGTGTGGCTCTGAGGGCGGGGCAGAAATTTGTTTAAGAACTGGCGTGACAAAATCAGGGCACAAAGAAGGGAAAGAAGAAGGCGAATTTTGGGAAACAGTCGGTTGGGGATCGGAGTGAGCACTAGCAGAGCGGGGAGTAAAAGCAGGTAAACCAGACTGAGCCCGCTGGGTGTTGACTAATGTAAGACAAGAGTCACAAAAGATACCAACAGAGGATGCTGTATACATCAGAAGACACTCATAAAAATTTGGTGAGATACCACAACAAGTGATATGCAACCAGCCGTCGCAGAAAGAACATTGAACGGCCTTTGAGCGGGTAGTGACACCTTTACCACAATCCAGACACTTGGACACCATGATGATAGATAGACCAGCAGAAGATTCCGAGTATATTGCGCACCTCCAAGCCCGTCTGAATCACAAGAAAACGGACAAAATCAACTTTTGTCAGAACGAAAACACACGGCGTTCGCTAGCAGTGACCTTGAGCAGCTCATCATCATCATCATCATCACGTTAGCTAGAGGTGGGGAACACCTCAACTACTGTGCCGCAATACAAAGAAAAAAGGAGAGAAAAAAACAACTGGTGAAAGCTGGCTGAGCTACCGGTAACGGATGGGCATTGTTCCGGTAAGCTACCAGCCGGCAGCTGTGCACCCAAAAAAAACTTATGCAAAATTATAAAGGGCTAAGTAATGAGATCGTGGTTGGAGGGGGAGGCTAAGAAAGATAGGGTGGGACAAAGAAACTCACAGCACGAACGCCACTGAGGTCGGCTCCTAGCCATATCAGCAAGTGTGTCCAATCAAACGTGTTCATCGTCTTTCGGACCCCAACCAGGGAGCCGAGACGCTCCAACCGAGGCCAGCTCAGAAGTGAGGGCCTTCATTCCTCTGGACCAAGTCATCGCTTGGCCACCCCTCCTCTTCTTCTATCCACAACCCCGGCGCGCAAACAACACACGTCGCGGGAGACGGTGGGCTGGCATGCGTAACACGTGGCCCAGCCATCGGAGCCTGATGCGTGAAATAACGGTGCTGAGCGGTTCATTTCCTTTTTCTGTGCCATAAACAAGGCGTCGAACACGCTCGTTGCTCACCCGGTGTTCCCACCAAATGCGAGCTAAATTACGAAGGCAACGGTGGTCGAACGTAACTAGCCTCTTCAGGTCCGCTGCTTTAAGCGGCCAGGTTTCACAACCGTACAAAAGGTCGAACGTACTGCTGCATTGTACACTCTACCCTTCAGGGCAAGAGTGATGTCGCGCCGGCGCCATAAGTGGCGAAGCTTAGCAAAAGCGCCCCGAGCTTTTGCTATACGATTCGTGATTTCATCTTCAATTCCACGGGCGCTGATACAACTTCCCAGGTAGTTGAATTTTTGAATGACTTCTAGCTGATCCCCACCAAGCGTCAGCGTAGGAGGCGGTCCAGACCAATCTTGGAGAAACGCTTTGCACTTCGAGGGTGCAAAGCAAAGCCCGAAGTGACGGACAGCTAGTGCTAATCTGTCCAGTGCCGCTTGGCACGTTTGTGAGCTGTCACAGATTGAGGGCAATATCATCAGCATACTCTAAATCAAGAAGTCGTTCTCCTGGGAGTAGCTCCACACCTTCTAAGTCGTGTCCTGTAAACGCGATTTCCATGACTTCGTCAACAGCGAAGTTGAAGAGGAAAGGTGACAGCGGGCATCCTTGTCTCACGCCGCTGGAGATATTTAATGGGCGACAACTTGCCGTAAGCCCTCACTCTGCCCGAGCTACGCGCATATAATGCTCGGATAATATTCACATATTTCTCAGGCACACCTTTCCTGAGTAGACAGTCCCAAAGTGAATGTCTATCCACCGAATCGAATGCACCTTTGATATCGAGGAACACGACAACGGTGGGCCGCCAATATATGTGACGGTGCTCCAACAATTGACGCAAGGTGAAGATGTGGTCAATGCAGCTACGACCTCGACGAAATCCAGCTTGCTCTTCACGAATCTGGCTTTCACGAGTGCCAGTCAGTCTGTGAAGGATGACAGAGGCAAGCAATTTGGAGGCGATGGAGATCAGACTGATTCCTCTATGGCTGCCGCATTCCGATCGTGAGCCCCCTTTGAAAATTGGGACTATGATGGACCGGCTCCAATCGGTTGGGACAGTTTCCTGCTCTTACAGTCTCACTAGTAACCCGTGTAAATCATCCACAAGAGCAGGTCCTCCGAATTTGAAGATGCCTGGAGGAAGGTCATCAGGTCCCGCGGCTTTGTTTAACTTCAACATGTTGATCTCATGTTCGGCTTCTGAGCGAGAGGGTGGATCCAAAGGAACAGTCCACAGAGCAGGGCGATCATTGGTCGGCGAGAAAGCTAACAATTCCCACCGATTAAATTGCCTTTCAAAGTGCTCAATCCAACGTTCCAGGCGTTTTGATAAGTTGTGGATAGGCTGCCAACTCTCGTCACGTATAGTTTCCCTAACACCAGGTCTCCTGTTGCTTGTTTCCCGTATCAGACGAATAACTCACGATGGTTACCAAGGGCAGCGGCCATTTCCATCTCTGATGCACGACGAGACCACCAGGATTCGCGGTCTCCCTTCAGGCTAGCACGGAGTTTTGTCCGGAGCTCTTTGCGCGTTTCATTGTGTTCGCTTCCAGCCGGAATATGCCGGCGAGCATCTATAAGTTCCAGAGACTGTGAAGAGACCCAATGTTCGTGTTGGCGATTAGACATACCACATGAGGATTTGCCTGCTGCTAGTAAGGCCTGTTGCATATGAGACCAGTGAGCTTCAATTGCATCCAGTGAGTGTTTATCCAACTCGGATGACAGCGTAATTTGATAGGCGTTCAACTGGATTCATCACCAGTCTGCCGGTGTCAATGCGCTCACAACATCGTCGCGGGCGTCCGCCAAAGCGCATCCGCAGGTCAGCACATACAAGTGCATGATCGGTGTCAACACATGTGCTCCAAATCGAGCGATAGTTTTGGATGCAGCCTCTCCAGCGGTAACTGATAGCAATGTGATCGATTTGCGTCCATAGCTGGTTCGAGGCTGGTGGGCGCCAAGTCGCCCTCCGGCGGGTGCTGTGTCGGAAATTAGTGCTCGCAAGAAATAAGCGAGCATCCTCACACAAATGAAGCAACCGCTCGCCGTTATCATTACGGAAGCCTATACCATGTGAGCCGCCCAGATGCAGCTCATCTGTGGATAATTTTCCAGTTTGAGCGTTCAGATCCCCAGCCAGCACTACAGTGTTCTAGCTTCTTCTGTGGCGAAGGAGTTCGTACAGTTGGCGATAGAAGTCGTCTTTTACCGAGTCATCGCTACAGTTTGTCGGTGCATAGGCAGCGATAACGAATAGACACCTGTTGGTCCCACGAACACATCCGGCTACTGATTGGAATCCAATCAACCAGAGTAGCTTCAGCCCGGGAACTCAGGGCAATACCAACAACGGATTGGCCGGTGCTCGAAGCTGCATCGTCACCGGATAGGCGCAATGAGAAAGTGCTGCTAGTGTCACATGAAGGGGATCGCAGAGTGAGTAC